TTGCTGCCATTTTTATACATGAACAGTAAGAAGCATGTATAAAAGAGAAGCAACTGTAGCTTTCATTAATATAACACAGCTTTGACATAGTTATTTTGCTGATGCAAATGACACAACCACAAAAACAATCAGAGTAATGATTAAATGCAGTTATGTACATGGGAGACTACTAGTGCAAATGTTAACATATTTAAATGGGTTCCTTCATTAAAAAGATTATATATGATATTAAACCATCAATCAAATTGAAACACTAGAGTCTAAATGTATTGTCACTGGTTAAAGTAAATGACTTTGAGACTGAATTTTGGCTCACTCAATATGATGTCTTTTCTGTTGCTTAGCCACCCAAATCTCTGCTGGCTTGGCTACAGCTGGTATATCCCCATCCCTTTCAATTAATAAAGAAAGTTATGGTAGTATTGGATAACATTTTTAAATTGGGCTAAGAGGCTGAAACAGATGTCCCAGGGAAAATCCTTCTCACTATTTTATCAAAACTTTCAAGCCTTGAGCCAGCAAACGCTGAGCACCCTCATCCTGATTCAGCTGAGCCTTTAAACACATTTGATTTTAAGCATAGGAACAATCACACCTGTGGGTTTGATCTGCTCTTAAGATGAAGTATATGCTCACAAATATGAGTGAGGGTCTTAGGCACTCAACATCTTGCACACCAGTACCCTCTGCCAATGCCAATTAGATTTCTTTGTGATGTGCTTATGTGTAAGTGCTGCTGCCTGGGCCATGAAGCACGTGTTATAAACACAGCTCCACTGCAGGTTTTTATCTCTATTACTGTGCATAACTCCACACTAGCTGTATACAGCACTGAGCTTTATCTGAAAAACAAAAACATCACTTATTTCACTATATAAAAGGGAAAGAAGGAAAGTTCCAATTTATAATACTTTCTCGTTGTAGTAATGCCACTTGATTTTTCATTGCTACTGGCACCTCTGCTTTCTGGTTTCCACTTTCCAGGCAGTGCCTGTTGTGCCGCTTCACTTGGTGCCTCCCATCACTGGGTCCTTGGTCACTGGGCAGCCCAGGCAAGTTCCTCAGGACCTCACCCCCTCTTCCTCCCCAGGACCTCCCATCCCGTTCTGGCTCCTGGCTCCAGGCTCTGGTCTTTGTTCACCTGCATACCTTCCCTCTTACCTACTGCGACACTCCTGTCCAGAGGTCCTTGTCCAGCCCTTGTATTCCACCAGATTCTCCTCTGGCAGGGAATGCTGGCTCTTCCCATGTCCCTGCCGACCATCCCCTCCTCCAGCACTGCTCACCTGTTGTCCCCTGAAATGCTGAACCCTGGAGCACAGCCTCAACCCACAGACCCAGCCCCAAAGCACCTCTCTGCCAGCGCTGGGGCTGAGACATGGAGCAACCCTGCCCATGGCCAGGGGGAACCCAAACACTGCTGCAGTGCTCAGTCTCATCAAAAACCCAGTTCACTGTCCACATGATCTTCCTGAAAATGATGCACAGCAAGTAACCACTGGCACTGCTGACCCTCACTTGGCCTAGCTGTACTTTACATCCCTGCCCAGGGAACACCCAGGAAAGAAAGTGAATACTGGAATGCCACTGAAATCCTGTTTCTATTCAACCAACCATCCATTTATCCCCTCTGCAGCCAGCACAGAATCATTTCAGAGATGCAAGCAAGAATTCTTTACCTATTGTGCCTTGTTCATAAACATTTGTTAGAACTGCAGGTGAAAGATGCTACAAAACTCATCAATTTTTGGAAAGAACTAAAAGGAATAGTATTTTAAGACACAAAAATTGAGCTAACAGCCTAATGTGTAGAGTTCAGCAAGATCAGCATTAAGAGAGGGTAAAGGTAGCTTCTTAAGACCAAAAATTACACTTTCATTTATAAAGTGAAGTACCAAAAGTCTCAATTTGAGAAAAATGACAAAGTAGGAGCTTTTTTTTAAAAAACTATTTATCAAAGTGCTTAGAACAGAACATAACATCAATAGGTGAGTGCAGTAAACTTAATACCGTGTTCTACCCATACATCTGAAATTACTTCCCACATTAATTCGGGGTGGCTGTAAGATCCCCTCACCAAGTGGATATATGCAGATGGAGCTCAGGCTGCTCGCCCGGGGCTACGAGCCCGGGCACGGCAAAAGCCGGCCAGAGCCAACAGCCACTGCTGAGTTTCCCAGGGATGCCGAAATTTGCTCCTGAGCATTACGGAGCTGTTTCACTTCCATGTTCTCTATTGCTCCCTCTTCATACAGTCACGTCAATCCATTAAAGCCCCGAGCTGCTGCGGGTCACACGTGAGGGATCAAGGTAGGATCGAGGGGGGCGATCCCACAGCTCCGCTGCTCGGGGCCGCGTCACACCGCGCTGTCCGCAGCGGCCGCACCGCGACCGCCCCGCTGGGCAGCGTGGGCGTGATGGGGATGATGATGATGATGATGATGATGATGATGATGATGATAGTGATGCCACAGGACAGCGGGACACCCGCACTCGCGGCCGGGCGGTCGGCGGTTCCTGCTGCGAGAGGGCCCCGGGCCCGCAGAACCGCCCCTGCCCAGCCCCAGCCCCTCCCGCTGCCCGCGGGCCCGGCCCGCACCTACCGCCCGCCGCCTTCTCCTCCGGCGAGGCGGCCGCTCGGCCCCGGCCCCCACCCCGGGCAGTTCCGGGCAGTGCCGGGCTGTGCCGGGCTGTGCCGGGCTGTGCCGGGCCGGCGGAGGCGCTGCCCTGCCCCGGGCACGATGGGCGGGGGCGCGGGGCCGGCGCTGCCCGAGTTCCCGGCGCAGCCCGGCACGGCCCGGGGCACACCGGCGACGCTGCGGGGCCCGAGCGGGGCCGGGTCGTTGTCCGGCTGCCGCCGGAGCCTCACGGCAGCCCCGAGCCCCGGCTGGGAACTATGCAGGGAGCGCGCCAGCGGCGCAGGTACCGAGCCGCCAAACCCCCAAAGTGCAGCACAGTTTGGCAGCAGGCCGCAGGTTTTCAGCGCCGTTAAGCGTCTGTGACCCGCTCCTTAACAGGGTTATGCATTACTGAGACCAAACAGATGTCCTGAAAACTGAAACCGCTGGTTAGGAAGCAGCAATCTTGTTCATTAGCTTCTATGATAGTCAAATCGTCCATAAACCCAGTGTTTAATGGCCAGCCAATGAATAATCAATGTCTCACTTTTCATCCGAGTGTGAAAGTGAGAATAATCTAATACGTCGTGCCCCCGGTAGTGCACCAGGCCCTGGGTTCCGCTTCTATTCAGGGCTGATTTATAACCCAATGGAAACCTGATGTAAACATATGATCAATGAGTCCCATCATTGCTAATAATAACCCCCAACCGACACACTCCCTCATCTCCAAAGCCATCCCTTTAGGCTATTAGTTTTGTCCAGCTAATCCTCTCCACTATTCCTGCCTGCTGCTTTTACCTTGGCCATCCGTTCAGTCCGGCAGACTCAGAAGTAATTTTATACGCAGCAGAGAGCGGGTGGAATTGATTTTTCGCTCAGTACTCAGTTCCCATCTGAATAATTATCAATTTTACTGCCTCATAAAGGGAAGAGTCAAAATTTCAAATCAATTCAAAAGAGCTTCTGAGACCATAGAAACTGTGCATGAGAATAAAGGTCAAAGTTGTCAGTGACCTCGGGAGATGATGTCAGATATTAGTACCCTGAATAGTTGACATCAAAGGCACTCAATATGATATGACTAGTGCTAATGCAAATCATATTTATGCTGACTGCTGGAGACCAGCCATTAATATTTAAAAGAGTATGTGAAAGCCTGCATTCAAAATAAATATAACGTATTCCGCAGAATCTGAAGTTAATAAAGACAGATCGCTGCCTAGTCATATGCTGTAAAGTGAAAGATTACTGCATATTAACAGACAAAGTATTACATCAGGACTGCCATAAATGGACCAGCCTGCTGCTCTGCCCCTTCAATCACTGCACGTGAGGTGCAGTGTGGAGTAATCCAACAGCCCCAAACGCTGACTGCTGCTTCCAGGAAACCCCTGTCAGGCGTGTAAAACATAAGAACCTGTAATATGACAAGGGAATCATCCTATTCTGGTAATGATGTCAATAATAAACACCATTAATATTCTTGGAATTTAGTGCCAGGATTATATTAGCTACCATTAGTTCCTTTTCACCTTCAATTAGAACAGCAAGCAAATGCCAACAACAACTGGTGACTGCATGCCAGGCTTTTTACAAATGACGCCCAGCTAGCAGGGAAACACAAATGATCACACTCGTCATTTGCATTTAGTTAGATTAAAAGCCTCCTGACCTGTGAAACACACCTCCTTAAATGCCACCGCATTAGATTCCTGTAAATAAGCATTTCCAAATAGTTTAGTGAGAATTTAAGGGCATGTGGCATGGGGAGATCTGTAGCTATGAACATCTTGGTCTCTCTGTAATGCACTTGGGCTGTGAAAACCTGAGGGAGTTGAGAAGGGGCAATCTCTCCTAAGCACTACAGAGGCCACTTCCTTTTCAGAAGCATGAGATTTAATTTCTATTGTATTTACCTTTAATAGAAAAAAATTCCAGTGAGTCATCTACTGTAAAATAAAATATTCAAACTTGGCAGCATATAGACATTCAGTTTGCACATTTCATTACCAAAATGTGTAGTTCAATGCCAGAATTTTTTCTTCTTCCTCCTAAAATACTTTAGAGACTTTTCTTCCCATTTGTCTATAGAAATGTATTGATGATCTCACATACATTTTTTTTATCAGCAAAAATGAAACACTCAGTTGTAAGATGCTGTACAGACAAGTACAGGGCCTACACTGTTCAGTGTGACAAAAAATACCTTCAGTCCTTGGTTGTCATGAGAACACAGCTGAAGCTACTCAGGGATTGCATCCCAGAGTGGGGACATTTGTTCTGTCACTAAATAGCCACTGCTACGTGATGTTAAGTACCACAAAACCCAGGAGAATTCAGAAATATAGTAATACCCCATAGAAAAGGCTGTGAATTCACCTGGTGTAGAACTTCTGGGTTCTGCTGCATGAAGTGGAGCAATCTCTCTCCATCCTGTGAAATATCTCTACCTCTGTGAGAGTCTTCTTGTCTTTAGTGCCTGAAGAAGCAGATGACAACGTAGTCTAAAGTAGCTCAGCAGCTGGAGGAGACAATTGTATCTGTGTAAAAAATGAAACAGTTTTGTAATTGTTTCCATAAAAACAAAAACTAATAATGACATTTCACAGTACTTCGAGAGCTCAAGTTTAATCTATTTGACATTAGGCTAGATGATAAATCACCCAGTCCCGTTTTGGCAGAGGGGCTGGGCAGCTTTGAAGACTGCATTTACTAAGGCCCCTTTGCTGTTGGGGAACTGGTTATTCATGTTATACCATGTCGTGGGATATCTACATGAAGGATCCTGTAACTGCAGCAAGCCTCATTCAGCACTGTATGAACACTGGCTGCTCATCCTCTGGCAGGATGAGGGCTGACATTTTACTGGTATTCAGTTTCACATTCAAAAGACTGCGGATTCCTGGAAACTAAAATTCTAGTTTCATCTGCCTACTGAGAAGAAAAGGTTAAACCCAATAGAGCTGTTATCCAGGCTTTCCTCAAGAAGGGTTTCCCAGTGTTTCTGTGCCCCAAGGAGCTTATAGTCCATGTCAGGTGCCAAACACTAAACAAGGGTCATTAAAGGCAGTAAAAAGGTCATCACGAACAGCCAGTTAGTCAGTTCACTCACTAATGAGTAATTGAAGTGGCTAAAGTGTATTAAATCCATTAAAAGCAGTGTCCTGGCCTGTGGTTCTCATGCACTCTTCCCTTGCCTTGCTCTGGCAGTGTCAGTGTCATCCCCTGCCCACTGCCACCTCCTTGAGCTGGCACCCAAGGGACTCCCTGGGCACCCGGACACAGCCCCCTGTGCTGCCTCCAGTTCCCACCCTGTAACCCTTGTTCCACAGCTGCCAACTCCATCCCAACACAGCCCCTGAAGCTCCTTGTGCAGGCAGCAGCTGAACCTGCTGGGTGCCAAGCTTAGCCCTGATACCCTCTGCAATTCCAAACATCCCATCCGAATGAGTGGAGTGTTGAGGGCTACATCCTGTTGCCACTAGCTTCAGCAAGAACTTCTCTAGGCCTTTTATAGTTCACAGTATTTATTTTAGATGGGCCACTGGAGTAAGGGATGTGGGGGTTGCAAAAGGAATTAAACTGTTAAAATGCTCATTCTAAGGGAAAAGGGATTAGAAGGATCCAATTAAATGTACCTTGAATTCTTTAAGCTATGCTAATTTGGAGGCCTGCCAACCTTGCAGTGTTCATTTAAACACATCCCTCTAGACACTGGAGTATTTTGATCTGTGTCTATTTAACTCCTTGAGCTCTGTGCTGACACTATTAACCCTTCACAATCTAAATCTAAACAGCATCTTGCTAAGGGTGTTTTGGAGGAAACACTAAATGGACATTTAGCCAGAGAAGTGGTCTCCTAAGGCTTGATCTTCCAAAGCAACCAGCTGGCTCAGCAGCAGGAGCTGGGAGTCACCTAACAGCTCACAAAAATGAGCTGGAGCCTCTCAGCTCTGTCTCCACAGGACCCATGAGCTTCTGAGGGCTGAACTCAATGGTACAAGAGGGCAGGACATTGCTGGAACAGAGCTGAGTCCAAAGCTGTGAGTGTTAACAAAGCCAAGGCCGCAGAACCTGGTACTGTTGTATTCCCAACCAAAACAGTCCTGCATATAAACTAGAAATGCAATGCAATTGCATGGTGGAATTGAATCACCATCAATAACAACAAGTGAGAGATTTGAAAATACATATTTCATAGGAGGGCTCTGCTGTATTTCCTAACCAGTGCTTAACTCTATTTCTTTTTAAATTGAATAATACAAAGTAAATCACTATCATCACTTTACAAAACAGCAGTAGTTCTAAACATGCTGATACTGTGCAAGTAGGTATTTTACACTCGACAGTAAGTGATTTTAGCAGGACAGCAGACAGTCTACGCTATCATTTGCTCATGAGAATCTGATAGGAGTGTTAAGAGCTACTTAAATTTGCCCATAACTATATATCAAATATGCTTCCCTATGCTCATTTTTCCTTTTGATTGCAGACAGGGAGTGTCAAGCAAACTCCCTTGAATGACTCTTTTGGGCATGTGGAACCCTGTGCTTTGCAGAACAATGTTCTCACTAAATCTTAGTGAGACAAGCCAACCAAATAAATAGAACAAACAGGAGCAATGAGGAGCTACCAGCTCTAGGCTATGGACAGATAAATGGGTGAGAAGACAGAATAAAGATATAATTACAAAGGAAACAGAGAAAAATCTTGGTATAATCAGGAAAAATGCAGTCAAACCATGCTTCTCACTTCTGGTCCACTCAGCTCCATGCCCTGTGTACAAATCATTTGGATCACCAAGCGAGCAGGTCATGGTTACACAGGCACCACCTCCAGCTCTGGGTGTGTCATCAGGGAGCAGCAGCACTTCAGCAGCTTTGTCAGGCAAACGGAGCCCTCTGCAGCTCCCTGATGACCAGCTGGGGACAGGGACCGGCCGAGGACATGGATGGCAACTGTGGCACCAGTCACCAGTCCCTTGGGTTTCTGCTTTGCTAGCAGGTGTTCATTTCAGATTTGGGGCCTTACCTGCACTTCTCTGTTATCTGTGTGGTTTTGCCTCCTGTATGCAATTCCAATCAGCCATCAGCTCATTCAATTGCAGGTTGAGCATGTATCTTAGAATGGGTTATATTGTTTTTTAGAAGAGACATCAAGACCTCAGAGGACTTGATGATGCCTTTTGGTCTCAGCAATATGACAACAACCTGCTGGAAGGAAATTGTTTTTCAGTAGTTTAATGACATTGCTGAATCTCTGCAAATTAAAAGATTTTGGTTTGGCAAGGAGAGGGAGTTAAGTGGTATTTTCTTTGTCCGTCAACTGCTTGTAGTTCAATACTGGCATTATTTGCCTTTGAGACTAAAGCTGGAAAGTAAATAGATTTAGCAATTTAACATCTAAATTAGGCAGCAAGACAGAAAAAAATGTTTTACTTTTTCCTCAATGAATAGCATCCTATACTATTAATCATATGAGAATTAGAAAAGCTTTTCAGAGATTAGTGACAAAATGCCAGGCAGACTGCCTTAAAAGGCTCTGATCCACTGAGTCAGCTGTGAGAAAGCCAGGTAAACACTTTGGAAGGGAACTGCTGCAGTGTTTATCCTCCCAATAAAAGCGGGGATGAGGGCTTCCATTACAGCTGATTTGCAGTGAGGTGCCTCAGAAGGGATACATATTCCTTATAAAGTGGGGAATCAAGAAAGGTATTTACTCAGGATCAGAATGAGCACTCCTCAGGAAAAAGAATTTGGGGAATGTTTGTCCTACACCTGACTGCAATGATAGTCTCAAAGGTTTCACATACATAAAGAGAATGGAGAAAAATGTCACATACTTTTTTTCTGTGAAAGAGAAGTGATCTCCTTGTATATAATTTTTAAAATAAAAAAGACAGCTATTTAATTTATATAAACATTTCTGAAAATGACTTGTGTGTTCTAATCAGTTTAAAACACAATTTCCCCTCACATGGCTTATAGCCTTGAGCCCTACTATTCTGAGATGTTCTTGTGGCACTGATACAATTCAGTGAAAAAGGCAATGCTTGAATCTACTCACAAGGTTGTATATGGCCAAATAACACAGAGGAAGTAAATTTATATTTCACTGTCTGATAATTAATAATGTCCCAAATACCAACATTTTAAAAGGGATAAAACATTTAGAAAATTAGGAAATACAGTGACAGGTGAGACTATTGAGATGATTAAAATCAAATCAACATTAAGAGCCATAAACTGTCCAATAGTTCTTCTGGACATGTCATTACAGCAGTATGGAAAATAACATTTCTTTAACACAAATGAAGAATTTAATGGCTGACTTGAATATTAATTCTTGATACATGATATTAAGGAAAAATAATCAGTTTGTCACTGCAACATGGAAATTTAAAACAAATGAAGCCTTTTTCAGCTGACTAATCATGGGAAGTAAGCACAGGCATTTGGACACAACCAAAACATGTCTTGGGGAGCTAACATGAAAACAAGTGAAAAAGACCAGCGGGATCCTAAAGATGGAGGCAGAAACCAAATGAGACCATTGTCCATCCAACCTCCTCTTAAAACCAGGGTCAGCACCAGACAGGTCCCTCAGGACTTTTTCCAGTATTTGGGAATATCTCCAAGGATGGAGACTGCACAGTGTTTTGGCCTTGTATGTTTGTACTTCTTTTTTTGTGCTGTAAGGACATTGATAGGAACTGAAGGAGAGCATTGGATAAGCAAATCTAGGGCTTATGATAAAAAAAGTGAGCTGTTAACATTAGGCATTATAGAGTATATAAGTTTTCTAAAATGTTCCTAAAAAAAAAAAAAATCAATGATTTTTGATAATTAAACTCCCATATGCCTAAACCACAAAAGTTTGAAGCTAAAACTGGAAAGACACAATTTTCTTACTCCTCCTACCTGCCTTGAGTGAGAGATCAACACTTTTTGAGAGGGAAAAATAAATAGAACACCTGAAAGCTGAAGCTTATTTAGCTTTTACATTTTCTTCTCCCCCTTTTAGTTAGTTCCATTTGCTTTTCAAAGAGATGTTAAAAGTAAACATGGTATGCCAGTGAATTATGGAAATGAACATAACCAGTGTGTCCCATGGAAGAGGTGTGGAGGATAGCAGAGCCCAGGTCATGGCTTGCTGAGCTGGCCAAGGTCAGGTTCAGGCAGAATACCCACCTGCAGGGCCAGCCACGGGCAGGAGCCGTCGTGCCATCACCACTGCGACAAAGCACTCGGGATAACGGGGACATGGGTTTTGTTCTAGAGCAGAATGACCTGAACACTCCTCGTGCTGCGGCTCAGCCCTTCCCTGCCCGCTCCCCCTCGCAGTGCTCCCTCCCAAGTGCTGCCCGGGTTTATTTAGCAGAGGATCCCCTCCCGAAGTGCTGCCCGGGTGTATTTAGCAGAGGATCCCCTCCCGAAGTGCTGCCTGGGTGTATTTAGCAGAGGATCCCCTCCCGAAGTGCTGCCCGGGTGTATTTAGCAGAGGATCCCCTCCCGAAGTGCTGCCTGGGTGTATTTAGCAG